TTTTGAATGTATTTATCCCCCGGGCAAAAAATAGTTGCACACGGTATTTTTAATATATCATTACTATAAATGAACATTTTGAGAAAAGTAATTATATATTTGGATAGCACGTGAAGTTCTCTACAACCCTATTTATGTTCGATTTAAATTGCATTTGTTTATTAAAAATAAATTAAAGAACAATGAAGGCACCCTCATCATCAGATTCCCCGGTTACGTTCAATTCTTTTTATCCCTTTTTGTTCATCAGATAAGTGGGAAGTCAAGACTGACAAAAATACAGGATGATAGAGCATTTCACACGCTTTCAGAATATAGACTTACTTTTGTTATAACTTGTCCCTATGTTGAAAATAAATTTGAAAAAATGAAGGAAACAGGATAAAAACAAGATAAAAAATTTGACGAAAAAATGCACTTCTGGGGGAATCTGATGGTGATGGTGCCTTCATTGTTCTTTAATTTATTTTGAATAAACAAATGCAATTTAAATCGAACATAAATAGGGTTGTAGAGAACTCCACGTGCTATCCAAATATATAATTATTTTTCTCAAAATGTTCATTTATAGTAATGATATATTAAAAGTACCGTGTGCAACTATTTTTTGCCAGGGGGATAAATTAAAATTAATTATTTATTTATTTATATATTTTGTTCGATGCATTTATATGTATTGAATGTCTATGATTTTATTGCAATTAAAATTAAATTAATTATTTATTTTATTTGATGCGTTTATATGAATTTAATGCTTATGAATTCGTTTACATGACAATTAAATGTAAAACTATATTATTTGTTTTATGTGATGTATTTATAGGAATTTAATGCTGACGAATTTATTTAGATTAAAATTAAATGTAAAATTAAATTATGTATTTTATTTGATGCATTAATGAAATTCAATGTTTATGAACTTATTCAAATTAGAATTAAAATAAAAATAAAATAAAATTATTCTATAAAATTAGTAAAAGTAATTTGAAATTCAAAATTAAATTTCAAATTTCTAGAAAATATTCAAATTGATAAATAAAACACAAATTTCTACAAGTGTCTATACGAATTCGCTTTCGATCGAATTTCTTATTTCTATCTTTTTGAATGTCGTATTTTCAAGAAAATAGAAATTCATCCACGAATACATATAGGCACTCCTAGAATATCTTCTTTTATACTCTATAACACATTTTCTAGTTTACAGTGTATGATTTTTCGAAAATTTCATTGATATTCGAATTCGAATTAGACAGCTACTCACGTTATATGGATGAAAGATCTATAAGAAGTATGGCATTTTTTACAGTAATATCTCTGTTTCATCAATGGCCATTGTATATCTTGGTTAGCCTCCTCTCTTTTCGTATTACAAAAGATGTCGTGAGTTTCCACAATAATGCGGATCAGAGTTTTATTTTATTCTTTCTCCTCCGTTTGTAAGACGACTGATTACAAACCACAGCAAACGTCTTATTGCTTTTTAGTCACTTAGATACCATGGCGAATCCTTTTTTCTTTTTCTTCTTCCATTGGTACTACTGCAGTTAAGGAACACCATCATTGTTAACGCGTACAGGTTGAGATAATTCATAGGCGGCGGAGCTCTTAGGCCTGAGGAGGCTCAAGCCTCCCCTAAAACAAAATTAGGGAGGCTTTGGGAGGCTCAGATATTTGAAAAAAAGTTTACAGATCTCGTCGTGATCTCGTGTTTGATTAGAGAACGCGGTTTGAAAAAAGTGATGTTTGATTTTTCTCTGAAAGTAATATTCATTTTGATTTTAGATCACAGGCATATATGATTGTATTTTTTTTGAAACAGTTTAACACATTATTACTAGTGACTCTTTTATGCAGAGGAATAGCCAACGTACTGAACACGTTTATGGTGCCGTAGTATTTTTGTATTTATCATTAAAAGTTTTGTTATCTTGTCTGCTTGACTTTTGAAAGATTTTGAAATGATAAAGAAACAATAATCTTATAATTTGAGGAAGGTTCATGGAAAAATATGACTTATTATTGAGTAAAGTCAGAAGCGGCGGAGCCATTAGGCTTGGGAAGACTTGAGCTTACCGTTAAAAAAGGGAAGGAAGGCTTGGGAAGGCTCAGATATTTGTAAAGATTTTACAAATGTCGTCCTGACCTTATATTTAGTAAGTGGAAACTCTTTGAACGAGATTACGTTCAGCTAGCTGCTGGATAGTGCCATAGACAGCCGAGCGATTAGTATCCGGTAGGCTCAAGCCGCCCATAAAAAAATGAAGCAGAATGCTTGAGGAGACTCAACGTTTGAGAAACTTTTACGAATCTCATTCTGAGTTTATATTGAATATCCCAAAAATATTATAAATATAATTTATTTTGTATATATCCTTGCATAAACAAATAATAAAATCTCAAATTTTTTTCAAAATGTGTTTTAGTGGTTTCTAACAAAGCAATCCAAAAAATCCTGTTGATTTGCTCTGATGAATTTTAGAACGCGGAAAGGAAAGGTGTATAAAAGGTTTCTACTTCCGATTGTATTGGAGTTAACAAACATATTTGAAATAATATCTGTTTTTCATTTATCTTTGCACAGAAAATTGATAAAAACTTGAATCGCTTTTAAAGGTGTACCATTAAACTCTCGACAATATCCAGAGAAAAATGTTCTCTCGGCATACTGTAATCGATTTAGAGAGAGAAAAAACTAAAGATGTACGAGACACTAGAATTTTTCAACATAGCAGTAGAATAAACGCTCCAGAAATGGTTTAATAATTATTAAAGTCAACCTTTGTATATAAAAAAAACATTACTGAGTAAAATGATACTACCAAAGTAATTTGTTTCCTGTTCAAAAGTCGCTTACATGGTTTGCCTATACAAAAAAAGATATGCGAAATAAACCCTGTTGAAAACATATTGGGACAACTGATATCTCTCTAATACGAGTTAGAGTTGAAAAGGTATAAAATTGCCCCTCCTCGTTCATCTCACTCTCCTATGACTCCCTGAAAAGTTTTGAGCCTCCCCTAAATTAGAGTCGTTCCGCCACCTCTGAGTGTGAGTGTGGGGTGTGGGGTGTGGGTGTGGGTGGGGTGTGGATGTGGATGTGGGTGTAGATGTGGATGTCAAAGAAAAGAACACCCACACCCACATCCACACCCTAATTCTTGATATTATTGCCATCGAGCACTCGTTTTCATTATTAAGCCACCTAGGAAAATGTGTCTAACGGATATGGTTCTCATTTTCTCTGAAAACGTATTCAATGACGTTAGGAATCTCCTTCATATTGCTATGAGTTCTACAGCACGATCTAGTTTAGAAGCAACACCGAATCTCATTGATGCATTTCTAGAGTCTGCTTGTTTGGAAAAGGTTTTTGGATGATAGTCATATATAATCAAAATGGATCATATCATTTTTGTATAATTCATTCAAACTTTTACATCTTCAACAATTGTGATTGGTAAGTAATTTCAAGGATTATGTTCATCAACTTAAGTATTTTTATTTATTCGTTGCTCATAAATTATTAGAAATTGAAGATACTAGACTATTATTATTGTTAACAATTTTGAAAAGGGTGGAGTGTCAGTGTGTGGATTTTGATGTTGATAATAAAAAATAAAATATCCACACCAACACTCCCAGTTCTCATAAAGGAAAAGTCTTACCGATTTAAATCCTCATTCAATTTAAGGAATACTTTAAACCAGTAAAACTTAAAGTTCATCTCAAGTATTAAATTATCGATAACTGATGCTCTTTTCTTATTAGTATTAACAGTTAAATGTAATTACATCAGATTGACTTGGGTGTGGATGTGGGTGGGGTGTGGGTGTGGGTGAGTGTGTGGGTGTGGGTGTGTGGGTATGGGTGTGGGTGGGTGTGGGGGTGTGGGGTGGTGTGGGTGTGGGTGTGGATGTAGGTGTGGGTCTTGAATTCTCATATACACACACAATACCCACACCGACACTCACACTCACACATTCATACACCACACGCACACCCACACACCCCACTCACACCCACACACCCCACCCACACCCACCCACACTCACACCCACATCCACACTCACACCCACACCCTCCTCTAAGAAGTCTTACTTTAGTTTTTGAAGATCTCGGATTAAATAAAAATTTTGTAATTGATATGAAATTCCTATCTCTAAATGACTTTTAATACATTAAAATCTATCCAACATCGTCATGTCTGTTTTGTTCTTTACGATATTACATATCTGTTATCTTTATGTAAACAAGATGATCTACATTTACGTGGTGCATGTGTAAATATTACTTGCTACATTAATTTAAGCAACAATTCATTTTTTAACACTATCATCATTATCAAATTCTTTTATTAATCAATGTTCACTTGTATCAACTGAATCACAAGACAATTCAAGGCTAGGTTAGAATATTAATCATCTCTTGCTTTTGAAAAAATTCTTTTGTTTTGTTTTTAAACATATTTAATTAGGTATATTAGCTGATTTATTTTCTACATTTTGATTATGTCTTAATGATAATGATGCACGTGTTATACATGTTTCATTCAATATTTTACGAACATTACTAACTTTTTTTATTAATTTCAAGTCATGCAGTTACAATTATAGGAATTGAATTATTGGAAGATTCTATTCAACATAGTACAAGTTCCCATATTCTTGTTAAAGTAGGTAAAAGAAATTTATAATTATAATAACTTTGAGTGTGTGTGTGTGTATATATAAAATAGATTGCTCTAGCTCAATTTATAAATGATATTGATTTTCGAATATTAACTTATCTTGAAAAACAACAATAATTAAAACAAAAGTAACCTGATATACGTCTTTGTCAAGCAAATACTTCGACTTTTGCTAAGTATGTATTTTGTAGAGATATTAACTAGACAGCTTTTTTTCGTAGTTGAAAGCATAGATCGATTTTATTGCATTAAGTTAGTTATTAACTAGTTTTTAATGCTTAGGTTTTGGTGATCACAATTCATTTTTAACATGTCAATATATATATATGAAATTCATCATTCATTACAACAAACAAATACTTCTGTAATAATATCAAATAATCAAGCACAATCTGATACAATATCATGTTTATCAACATTAATATTTGATTGTTTAGCTCAAGCATTAACCGGAATACAAATTGTTTGTTATTTTTGTCTTTTACATATGTTAGATGTTTAGAAGATATTTATGTTCTTTTAAATGTTTTAAGAGCAACAACAATTCGATCATTTTTTCATAATCAGTATGATGAACTTCGTTTACTTAAACCTTTTTTTAAACATCTATTTATATTACATGATCTTAATAATTTATTGCTATTACGCGATATTATTCATTTGATCTTTTTAACTAAAGAGAAAAAAAAATATTTATTTTATTTTTTGAATCGTTTTTATTTGAAGATTTAATTAAATCTCAAAATATGAAAAAAATGTTTTGAAAGTAGCACAAATGATTCAAGTTATTCGAAAATTGAAATATTTTATTACCATTCTCGAATTATTGCAAAAATATTCACAATCATGATTTTTTTGGGCAAAAAACAATCTCGTATAGTTGATATTTGAGTTTTTACAGAAGAAAAGAGTTTCAATGTTTTTTGATTTGACGAATATCTGATAAAAAAGTTAATCGTACACAATTAGGTAATTTTGGAAATAATTCATCAATGATGAAATTATTCGAATTAATACGTTCATCATATCAATTAATCAAAATTTGGAATCAATATTCAATGTACACAAGAAGTAACTTCTTTTAAATAGTAATATTTATTGTGAAGAAAATTTCAATTATTACTCTTTAAAGAATGTCATGGTAACAGGAGAAACTGATTTTGCAAGTATCGATGATCTTAACAGAAGTAGTTTGTTGTGAAAGTGTCAGATGTTTTCATTTGGTTCTTTGTTGAAATCCGAATATTAAACTAGTTGATTGACGTGAGCGATCTGTAAGATATACTATTACTAAAATTGTATCTTTAGGTAGAAACAGCAAAAAAATTTGAAAATCAATTTTTCTGTTGTCACAACATTTATTTAAAAAAATCCTTTTAATTTAGTTTTTATTAAACATTCGTCAACAATTAATCGTTTCATCATCATCTACTGCAACAAAATCTTCAAATATTTCTTCACAAATATCATTAAATAATTCTATAACTGTTATTCATACAATAAGTATTCGACAATCGATAATATATTTATTTGGTTCACATCATGCATCAAATATATTGTCTATTTTACAATATTTTTATTTAACTAAAAGATTAGTGTCAAAAATTATATTAATAAAAATGAAAGTGATTTTCAAGCTGCTGTACTCGATTTACTTATTCAATTATTTTTAATTCGTGTTAATTATAGTTGATTACATGCTGATGAATTTCGTTATATTTCTAATCATTTCGTTTAACATTTTCTTACTCACATAATCTATTAACTTGAAATAATTGAAGAAACTATAACAGATTGTGATGTATTATTACATTTTATTTATTGTTTTGCTGAATTTCTTGTTATGTTATCACATGACACACTTCATTCAAAACAAGTTATTCAAGTATAAGATTTAATATAACATCGTGATTCATTATTAGCAAGTGAACATGAACGTGACACACATGGTAGGAAGCAAAAAACAATTTTTTTAGAAAAATAAATTATCGTTAAAATTCTTTATTCAGCTTTAGCAGCATTAGAATCAGTTGTATATGATTTTTTTTCTTGTTCGAGTTAACGCAGATAATACAGAATTAGAAGCATAACGAATGATGATTAGTCCACATTTTTCTTAAACTTGTTCGATACAAGAAATAGTCGCTATATGAATAAATAAAATTTCTAAAAGATTTTATTAAATGAGAGTGAACAAAAAGACGTTCCTGAATAAGGTCTCAAATATCATAATCAACGATCTAAAAATAACTATCTTGTTGATGCCCAGAACTCCAGAAGATTTCGAGACAGTAATCTTCAGTTATGTATTCGATAAAAGATATCACAATAAAAAGTTTGAAGGAAAACTATATCTTTTCATATCTTGTGTATGTACGGAAATAAAACAATTATAGAATTTATGATTGTTAACAATGTTTGTTAATAGTGTTTGAATTGAAGATGATAAATGGAAACATCTTTCATGACAAATTTTCAAAAAACTTCTTACTCATTTACAATCATATGTTACTATTGGATTATCTCAGGTTATTTTTCTTTTTTAATAATCGTCGATTATACGTTACTTTTTCTTTTCAGATAGAGTCAATCGCGTTTGGATATTTATTTCATACAATTAACACTATTTGATATGGTATTATTAGTTGAATTACGAACAATTGATCCATTTGTTGTTGCTTTTGGAACATTAGTAAATAGAAATGTTTGTTGTTTTTATTTATGAAATTTTCTTGTAGTTTAAAAATTTTTTTTAGAATATCAAATTGTCAATCTACAAATCGTTGGTTAATCAATATATATATGATATTTCAATGTCTTATACAAAATTTAACTAAGTATTCGAAAGGATTTTGTTCGTAATTTAAAAACTATTATTCTCCTTTTTATTTTTAGAGCTCTTCTTTGAATTTTAACTAATACTTACCAATTACGTGATCAAATCGATCTGACATTAGCTTCTCTTACATCCAATTATCTTCATATACGTTTACATATTATGGTAAATAGTAATGAGTCAAAATAATAGCGTATTTATAGACATGAATATGATAGTCCAGCAATTATGATTGATTTAGAAATTTCGATTTGAAACTTTAGAAAGAAGAAACTAACTGAACAGATAAAAACTTGTTTCTATCAATGTGAAAAGATACTAAACTTTCATCATAGTCTATATGATACTAAAATATCACTGGTTAATTTGAGAATAAAACTTTCCTGAAATTCATTATTTACTAATGAGCTAGCGAAAAGCATTTGACTTTAAAATTTCTATGCTTCTATAAGATCTATGATTTTATTTTAGCTATAATCAATATTCAAACAATTTTATATGATTTTCGTCAATTATGAATTCATGATGAAATTATACATCATCTTGATACATTTTCATACTTAACTATTTTAAGTGAATATTTTAAATTATTATTACAATGAATACTTATTCTTAATATGCTTAATTATACATAAGAAGCATGGTGGTCACCAATATTAATACTATTATCATTAATAACACATTTACCTATTAGTGATCAATTACAATCTTATTGTAGTTTAATATATTGTCATGAATTATATTTGGAATATCGAACATCAATAAGAACACATCATTAATTATTCTTTTTATGCGAACAACTTGATATTTGTACATCATACATTAGTTGCAAGTCATTTATTCGTTTGTGAAGGAATACATTTAGATGAAAATGATCTGGTATTAGTTTTATTAATTGAACAATTTATTTCATTACCATATATATCTATATTACGTTTAGCTGAATTAATTGTTTATGATCCTATTGAAATTATGTTAATACTTGACTAAGAAACATTCAATAAACAATTATCATCTAAATATTTCCGATTAATTTTATAAATATTATCAATTGATATTATTAAAGAAGATTTTAATAATCTTAATTGTCATATGGATATAACACCAAAAATTTATACGCAACTGCTTAAAAATGTAACTTATAAAAAAATCATTACTATTTATGATGTTATCGGTATGTTTTAGTTTAATTTATCGAAATAAATACACATATATGTATAATAAAAATGTCATTCCAATTAAAAGAAAAATATTTGTTTTACTTTGACATTGTTTATGTATTAGTAATAGACGAGATTCTTGAATAATTCAAAATTTTGAAAAGTATTCTGAAGTATAAAACTAATTGGTCTACTCTACTTATATATAATTTCTAATATTATGAAATGACTAATGAACAAAAATAATCATAAATAATTTTAAAGATATCTCGTAAAATGTTTTCAATTGTTTTATTTATTTTCAACAGCAAATAATTTTTAGAAATCAGAAATTTCAAGTTTATAAAATATTCTTCAAAACAAATATCATGAATAGATGACTCACGGTGTAACAGTGATGTTCATCTTATATTCATTTCGAGTTTTTCGAACGAAGAATGTCTATTTCAAAAAAGGCAGCTAAGTTTTATAAAACATTACGAAATCTTTTTCAGACGATGAAACTGCATTTGAGAATCTCGACAAACTTTCTATAGATTTGAATTTCTGGACTTCAAAATCCTATTAGGTTTTTTTATAGCATATAAAATTTTTAGAATGATTCTTATCGTAAATGAAAATTGATTTGAGAAAATAAGAAACAATATAAATCTACTTTTTTTTTGTTTTACTAGGATTTTGTATAGTTAATTTCAACAGGTGATATATATATGATTTATTACGTTTTATAATATTTATATCAGAAATAACTTATATAAATATATTTCAAAAACAAAATCATTTTTTAGTTGTGAAACAGATCAAATAATATCATGTTATACATTATTAATAATACTATTATTAATATTTGAATATCTTTATCAACGATATGATTTAACTATATCAAATAAACAAATCAGTTATTACTTTTATCACTTAACGATCTTGATCATTTTTATTATTTAACAAGAAAAATTAAATATTTATATCATATATTTATTGACATGATTTACTTTTTATAGCTATATTATTATTTTGTTTACCAATATTTATATCAAGACAATTTTGGAGTTGATTGATTATCAAGAATATAATTTCAAAAATATAGCTTTCATTTTTAGCTTCAATTAATTCACCACAAATAAATATTAAGAGGAAAATGAATAAACAACAAATAATTTAACAAAAGAAAAAAAAAAGATTTTCGAAACAAATTCAACACAATGGTAACAAGATTAAAAAATAAACGAAACTTTATCTGTTCTTTTCTTTTTTTTTCTCTGCATAGTGTATAGATTCGTGGTGTAACAATATTTAAATGAAATGTACTTCGATTGAATTGTACAACATTTGAACATCAACGCCGAAATAAATCTATTCGATTTTTATTACCAGATTATCCTATGAACAATTTTCATATGATATTATATTAATATCAATTCAAATTAATAATACATTACCATTATCAGTTAATGTAAGTTCATAGATGTTTTAAGAATTGACAAGTAGAACTTATATTTTTGTGAATATTGATTATTCAACATAAGTGCAGAAAAAAAAAGTTACCGAAAGAATTTTAAACTTTATTATACAGAACTGTAAGTTAAAAGAAAGGCAAATTCATTACTAAATTATTAATTTCTTCAAACAATAAATTTAGTGTTTATCAATAATTTCAAATATATGCTGATTACTTGTATTCTATTAATAAAGTCTAAAATATGAGAAATATTTTCTATCAAGCAGAAAATTAGAATATGAACATTTCTTTCGCTCGCATTCACTTTTAAAACTATATATAATTTAGAGTTTATTTTCTCATCATAGTATTGATTTAACATCATCATTACAAATTCTAATTGAACTATATGTTCGTTGCTTAACAACAAAATTCAAATAATTTTTGTATCCAATTAAAACATGAATTAATAAATTCATTTATATACCTATCTGATTTATTTCCATCAATCATATTTATATGATTTATGTGATTAATTAATGATATTATTAATAAATTATAGTTTGTGTAAATCTGGTATATTACTTGGACAAACAACAAAAGAATATAATCAATTATATATACGTTAAACATATATATATAATTGAAATTCATCAAGTTGACTTAAATAAATTATATAATAGAAGAATGAAATAATGATATATAAAATAATAATTTAACACAAAAATTATATCAATTAGGTTTGAAAGACTTTTAAAATAGTTGGCCAATATTTTAAAAATGATATATGGCGTTTATATGAAATATGTACACATATTTATAGATTATTACAACAACCAAATGAAAATACAAATTCATTATATAATGAACAAAGAATGATTAATAGTTCATCAATAATATAATCATCAGATAATATTCTTATTGAACTTGTTGTAGAATTATATGTACGTACTAAACAATCATCAACACTACCATGATTGCTTGCACATATTGGTTTATCAGATCGTTTAATAAATAAAATAATTTTAGAATTTGTTGCATCAACACAACAATTATATCCTCAAATACTTGCATATACAGTATTTGCTGTTTTTTCATACTTTAATTAATGCACGTTATTCAACTAAAGTTAATAAATAGATATGATTATCAATGACAAGTGTTGCACAAAGAAAATCAATACGTATAGCTATATGCGGGTTAACTTGTCTTATGTTAAGTGCATGTCCATCACATACAATTGTTGATGCATTGTAAGTATTTACTTCAATAATTTATCCTTAATCTTTAAAGAAAAAAATTGTATTGAAATTTCATACTGATGATTTAATTGTGAATTAATATTGCACAAGTTTTTCTGAATTTATTCTTATGAGTAAAATCGAGTGAAGTTGTATTTGGGTTGTTGGATGAGCTTTTTTTTTGCCTATTTATTTGGAAAAGATAAATAGTAAAAGATTAATGAAAAAAAAAGCTTCTTTGTTGCAATCCGAAGGAATGGCGATCAAAACGAAATCAATAAATTTCGCCATGAAATATTTAATATGAATTCTCATAGATAGTATAGTATATCTTTTACTATTTTAGGTTTTCATTGACGTTATCACGTTTCAGTGCTCATTTTGAAGAATTAGAAAATTGCTGGTCGAGAATATTATCTGCAGGTATTATAAAAGAAAATCTTCAAATATTAATTGTATTAAAAAGAATATCTATTTTACTTATTTTAGTTAACGAATATCGAACAATGACGTCAATTTGAACAAGCATTCATAGTGTATGGGTGTAGATATTGTTTGAATGTGTTGATGGATCATATACTCTCTCTTGTCAATACTCATACCCTCAATAAAGACTAACAATATCGATTCATAAAATGAAAATATATCAACAGGAATTCATTGATCTACCTTTTTTTTTACTAGAATTGCTCTCTCTTATAATAATCATATCTAGATTGTCATTAAATTTTAGTTGCATATACTAATACAAAATAGGTTAAGTAAAATACCTCCAGTGAACGTTATTATTGTTTGCAAAAGATAATCAATTTCCGTGAAAACCATCCGTCACACTTATTTTGTGCAATTGTGCTCTAATTTCTCTTTCACTTGTTCATTTGTATTTCATATTGTCTGTTTTTTTATGATTTCAACCATTGAAGTTTCAAGGAAGGTTTTAAAATGTTTTAGAATAATCTAAATTGTTGTTGATGATGTCATTCAATGCCTTTTCTATTGCTATTCTTCCTCTTTTTACTAGGAAAATCATGCTGCTGAAGTCGAAGAGAAAGTTGCATAAGTCTGGATTAAAACTTGTATTTATAACCAATACTCCTTGCATCGTTTTGGTTTAGTACATTATTAGTAAAAGCACCGACCATATTTCATTCTACTGCTCTGTTTTCTAAAAATCCATTGAAAATGATAAATTCACAAAGTCTCGCACTACAATCGTCTCTTTTTATTCAAATAACAATTGTTTTTTCTTGACTTATTATTCGTACTTTCTATTATTTTGTTATCAATACAACAAAAAATTTCATAATAAAGAAAAAAAAACTTGTTCAGTTTCTACTTACAAACAACATTTGACGATAACTATCAGAAAGGAAATCAAAAAAACTTCCACAGATTCGAGTTCAATTCGGTGCCTAACAAGCATGATATTGTCCTGCAAAGTTATTTTAGATTTTTAATTTATGAGAATTTATTTATGACAATCATAAAGTTTGATAAGTTAAAACTCAACAATACAATCATCAAAATATATGACTTCAGAAAAAATAGATCATAAATAACGAAAATTCGATCATTACACTATAGAATATTCTGTAAGAAAGTGGTTGCATCGTGTTCCTGTTACATTCTAAAGATATTAAAAGACTTGTACACACACCCAGGTTAAACAAGCAGACGGTAAGATCTTACAAGATAGAATACTTCAAACATATTTAGATTTAATTTTAAATTTCTTTCTGGATTTGGTAAATTTTTATAAATGTAAACTGATTGCACATCGTTTGATAATCGCATATAACATCACAATAACTTTACAAAAATGATTATATCTTAGTTAATCATTTTTTCTCACGCGTTTGTCTATATTTATGCCCAATCCTGTTCTATTTTCATTACTGAGAATAGGAAAGACGATTAGCAGCTTATGAACGAGCTGATGACACGAAAGATGTTTGTATTCTTCAGAACTTTTTTTCTCACAATCTACTTTCGCAATTTAAACTTTGTGTTGTAACTTATCTAACTTCGCGTACATGTAACGAAACAAAATAAAGAAATATTTCTCCATAAAATTAATTTGAACAGAAGTATATACAATAGGATATGAGTTTCAGGTTCATCTAACAATTCACAGACGTTGTTGTCTATGAAATATGCTTAGAATGGAAACAATCTAAAACAAATATAGTTTTCAAACTTTTGTTCCTCTGTTCCAATTGATTCTAGTTATTCTAAATCCAGTCAGAACTGATTTTGAGCAAGTCAAATGATTGAATTTATAGTTGAACTTTAATTCTCAGTAAGTAACATAAGTTATCGTTGTGTTCTTCACCTTTTCTCTTGGAAAAGTGTTTCTTTTTTTTCAATTTTCGGACTTATATTTATCGCCAACAAAAAACAATCTTTATGTTTGGATATATTGAATATAAATTTTCCAAAAGCTATTCAAAAGACAATTATGTCATTAGTTTTTTTTTTAAATATTCGCTAGTCAAAGAAACATTTCAATACAATGTAGTATTTATGCACAAATTTTTTGATCGCTGGTAAATTTATCGATAAAAAAATCTTGAACAAACTGTTCAAATTCGTCTGAAAAGTCATGATTTTTATAAGTTTTCTCTTACATCAAGATGAGTCCAGTGAAAGATAAAGTTAATTTCGTCAACTTTTGTCTTTTTCTTTTGATATCGAATATGATTGTTGTTACTCTTTTCAAGGAACTATTGCCTTTGGTCAAATAGCTTTTTGCTTAAAAAAAGCATCAAATTTTGATAGCATTTGATATCGATATCTTCGAAGTAAATCATCGGCTGTGGAGAGAGTTACAAATTCTTCACATCGATGTGATTATCTATAAATGACTGAGTCTAATTGTTTGATCTGCCTCTTTTATTGTTTTTGTCATACATTTTTAAAAGTTCTACTAAAGATTTCTTTTTTCTCTATCATATTAGTGTAGCTTTTTGCACATAATAAAAGGCGATTGAAAAGTTTCGACTTCTATCAGTAAATTAATAGTAATTGATCGAAGTATATGATTTAATAGAGGAAAAGAGAGAGCTTTATCTAATAGGAATACACTTTGAAATACATCAATATTTTGGTATTTTATCAATTTTGAATTCTTTTTCATAATAACAGTACGTCTTTTAACCCCGCAAGCATTTTATAGGAGACTTACCAATTCAATGGAATAATATTCATTTATCTAGCATCTTCTATTGAATTTTAAAAAGAACACTAAGGTAATTTTAATTAAAGCTGCAAAAATTGTCGAAAAATATATCCAAGCAAGTAGAATATTAGACAACAAATTCCAAAACAGGAAACTTTCGAAACGTGAGTTTGTTAATATGAATACATTAGGAATATTAAGAATGTTACAAAATTAAAATCATAATCAGCTAATATAATGACTATTATTTCATTGAAACGATAAATTTTGTGAGTACAATTACTTCTAATCATCGAATAGATTTTCACTCCCTCATTAAAGTATTGTAACACCTTTGAATTTCCTTTTTCCTGATAAATTGGTCTCAATATTTATTTATTATTGATGGAAGAAGTATAGTTTTTGGAGGGTGTGGGTGTTTATATGAACGAAATCCACACCCACACTCACACTCATATAATACAAATATAACGCAGGTAAGGAAAGATTGACTATCATTTATGTCACAATGATGAACGAGAATAAAACAAAAGAAACATTTTTCACTCATGTATTATGCTATTAACGATTACATGTGTAATTTTCAGATTGTAAAAAGAAATTGACAGATTGAACTATGATTACCTGAAAGTGGTGAACACAACGGTATGAAATTTTACAATAAAGGATGTTATCTTATCGTTTGCCTATCTTAATTCGAAGAAGAGATTGTTAGTCGAGATTTTTGATAAATTTAGCAAACTTGATAATATTAGAATTGTACCTTAATAGAGGAAACGGCTACATCCATTTTGCGGACATTTTTTTCAACCAATTAAGAGAAAATGTCCGCAAAGTAGAATCGGGGGGGAGAGACACAAATGACCGCACGTTGGAAAATGTCCGCAAAGTGGAATCAACAGAGAGAGACAGAAATAACCACATTACAGAATGAAGACAAAATTTATTATGTGAAAAAAAATACAGAAAAATTGATTGATGAAAGACAGTAAAATATCTAATTTTGTGGAGGTTCATAATCAAGATCATCCTTGCCAGTTGTATCGAATACGTTGATATATCGATAACAAAAAGACCGCAGGGTGTGGGTATGGGCGTAGGTGTGGGTGGGGTATGGGGTATGGGCGTGGGTGTGAGTGGGGTATGGGTGTGAACGTCGGTGTGGATGGGGTGTGGATGTGGGTGGGGTATGGGTGTGGGGTGGGGGTCTTTGTTATACGCATCCACACCACTCCCACACCCACACCCACACTCACACCCACACTCATACCCACCCACACCCCACGCCCACACTTCACACCCTCATTGTTTACGATGGACATTTTTTTCATTTGATTTATCTAACTTGATTTCGATTACTTTAAATACATTCGTTCACAAAAGCGTTGAAAAATGGCCTCGACGGCACGTGACATTCAAAACTAGACTAGCTCGAAGGACGTGATATTCATTCTTAAATCGAGCTACCTACACTGATCACCCT